CGACAAATCCAAGGTGACTTTGGTCCGGTGGCTTCCGCGCACCGAGCGCCTCTTCCTGGCGTCCCACGCCAGCGGCCACCTCTACCTGTACGACTCGGAGCAGCCGTGCGGGGCCACCTCGCCCCAGTACAGCCTCGTCACGCGGGGCGAGGGCTTCAGCGTCTTCTCCTGCAAGAGCAAGACCCCCCGCAACCCCCTCCTCAAGTGGGCGGTGGGCGAGGGGCCCCTCAACGAGTTCGCCTTCTCGCCCGACGGCCGCTCGCTCGCCTGCGTGAGCCAGGACGGCTGCCTGCGGGTCTTCCACTTCGCCTCCATGCTGCTGCAGGGCATGATGAGGAGCTATTTCGGGGGGCTTCTCTGCGTCTGCTGGAGCCCAGACGGGCGTTACGTGGTCACGGGGGGCGAGGACGATTTGGTGACCGTGTGGTCCTTCGCCGAGGGGCGGGTGGTGGCCCGAGGGCGCGGCCACAAGTCCTGGGTCAACGCCGTGGCTTTCGACCCGTTCGCCGCTTCTTCCTCCTCCTCCTCCTCCGCGCCGCCGCCGCCGCCGCCGAGGGAGGAGGAGGATGATGAGGAGGAAGAGGAGGAGGAGGAGGAGCAGCCCCTTGAGGAGGGGAGGGACCCCCAGGCTCAACCCCCCGTCTCGTATCGCTTCGGCTCGGCCGGGCAGGACACGCAGTTTTGCCTCTGGGATCTCACCCAGGACGTGCTGGACCCCCGCCCGCGACCCCCGCAACCCCCCCGAGCCCCGGAACCCCCCCGAGCCCCGGACCACCCCCCTCGAGCCCCGGACCACCCCCCTTCTGCCCCGCCGGGGGGGTTGCCGCGCTCGCTGTCGCGCTCCAACAGCCTCCCCCAGCCCGGGGGTCCCTCCTCGGGCCCCCCCGCGGGAGGAGGAGCCGGTGCGGGAGGGGTCGGCGGGGGTCGTTTCGCCACCCTGACGCTGCTGCGCGACCACCCCCGCGGGCAAAACCCCCCCCCTCGGCCCGAGGTCGGGGGGGAGCAGCAGCAGCAGCAGCAGCAGCACAAGCGCTACCACAGCCTGGGCAACATCAGCAGGGGCGGCGAGAAGCCCCCCGGGCTGGGAGGGGGGTCCCGGGGTGGTCCCGGGGCGGGGAAGGTGCTGGGCACGGCGCTGTGCCCGCGGCTTAACGAGGTGCCGCTGCTCGAGCCCCTGGTGTGCAAGAAGATCGCCCAGGAGCGGCTCACGGTGCTGCTCTTCCTCGAGGATTGCATCGTCACCGCCTGCCAGGAGGGGCTCATCTGCGCCTGGGCGCGGCCGGGGACCCCCGTGAGTGGGGCTGGGATCAGATTTGGGGGGGTTTGGTGGGGCTGGGATCAGATTTGGGGGGATTGGGAGGGGTTTGAGGAAGTTTGGTGGGGCTGGGAGGGCGATTTGGGGGGCTAAGAGGAAGTTTAGGGGGTCAGGAAGGGGGTTTGGGGGGGCTGAGAGGAAGTGTAAGGGGGCAGAAAGGGAATTTGGTGGGATGGGAGGGGGTTTGAGGGGGCTGGGATCACATTTGGGGGGTCAGGAAAGCAGTTTGAGGGAGTTTGGGGGTCGCTGAGCAGCGGGGCTGC